TCAGTGGCTACAGGGTAGCTTGCCACCATAATTGTGTGAATGAATCGGTGAATGACGAAATGTAGTGTCAAAAGCTTTGGATCTTTTGACTTGAAAAAGTGCTTTATAACTACAGGCAATTTACCATAAGTGACGCTATCTTCATCTGGTATTAAAATGTGTTTGATGCTTCAGAAGTTTCAAAGGAAGAAAAATGTATTTCTATACCTAAAGGGAACCTTATATAATTGATTATATAGATTCGGTATAGGTCTATATGCTATACAAAATATGTCCACTCCATTTTTTTCAACCACATTCAAACTCAGATGATGAGATTTCACCTCCTCACTTTCTGTCTATTTTGAGCTCCTTTTAGCATGAGCTGTTCGAGGATTCTGTCACTTTTATGCAAATAAGCCACATGTCTGCAGTCTTAAACTGTCCTGTTATGTCTTCTCAGCTGCCTAAAGAGAGCTATCTCTAAGTTTTATGTTCTTCTAAAGTGTTGGTTTGTGTTAAGAACCGTAAAGGAGGCATTTTGTTTGTTTTGGGATGAAATAATCTGATAGAAAAATAAGAAGCTAAAAGAGATAGCATCCTTTTGGGGTTTGGCATATAACTAACAGCAAGTTCTCTGTCTTTTCAGCTGTAGGTCAATGTAATTGATTTATATGTGCACATTTTAGGGTAAGCATTAAGTCCAATGTTAATTTGATATGATTCATTCTAAATTTAATTACAGCTTTAATGTAAGATGTGATATTAAAGTAATGTGTTATATTTTAGAAGGTGTTTAACTTTGGGCTTACTTGGTGAGGGGCAGTGGGCACCAAATTAATGTAATAATGGTGAAGTTTTTAAAAAAAGGCTTTTTTTCCCCAGTAATCATATATTTACTTATTACTAAAAATAGCTTACTGATTTATTTTATTCTTTTTTTTCCAGTTTCTAGAAGGAGCAGAGATCCAACAAGAAACAGTGAATTTTCCATAATAGGCCCTTTTTTAAAGGGTTTAAAGGGTTGTTGTCACTGATTCTGAATAGCATCTAAGACAGAGAAGTCCAACTGCAGTCAGTGTCCTGTTCAGATCAGCACACCTGAATTTCATTGATAGCTAATTAACAGGCTTTTGGTTTGATGCAACCATCTGATGCCATGTTTAAATTCAGCGGCCGCGTCCTCACAAGGCCAGAATCATCCGCCGATTATATCATAGCGCGGCACTGTGGCCCATTCGGATTGGAAGACTCCTTCGTATGTGGCCGACAAATGCAGCCTTTATTTTTCGCCAGGCTAGAAGGACAGGTATGTTGTATCCTACGTAGCCTTGGGTATCCCGTCATTAATTGTGAGCCCAAGCAAGCCGGCTGCTCCGTCCTCAGAGGAAAAAGCGAAATGGCGACAATCGGTTTTGAATATTAAGTGCAGTTTAATAATGCCTGCGCTGTGGAACAGTGGGTAGCACTGCTGCCTTGCAGCAAGAAGGTTGGAGGTTCGGTTGGAGGTTCTGTGCGTGGGTTCTCTCCAGGTACTCTGGCTTCCTCCCACAGTCCAAAAAATGTATGTTAGGTTTAATGGCTTCTTTAAAATCACCTTAGGTGTGAGTGTGGGCATGAATGGTTGTTTGTCCTGTTTGTGTCTGTGTTGCCCTGCAATGGATGGGCAACCTGTCCTGGGTTTACCCCGCCTCTCGCCCGTAGAAAGCTGGAGATAGGCACCAGCACCCCTCGCACGCCTACTTGGGATAAAGCGTGTCAGAAGATGGATGGAGTAATTCACAAGTATGTGAATAATTTTGTCTTAACTTAATGAAAATCTTTTTTTTTTGATGATTATTAAGTAGGATATGTCCCTGTTCAGCTGACATTTAAGCACAGAGTCTAATATCTGTGCCATGTGGGGACTATAAATCTGATATCTGCGATAACGGTGCGGATGCTGAAGCTCCTCAGAAATGTAATTAGCACACAGAAGAGTAATAAGAAGTGCTACCTCCATTCTTTGCCTGCTTTGTTCATCAACTGACAGCTGGACCTGTCCGAATTTATATCCAAACTTTTATGGCGCCCTTATTTTCAGAGACTCTGAAAGACACAGTCTAGGTAGGCTGGATCCTTTGAAGGATGCAGCCACCGAAATCAAACACAGCCTGATAAAGAAGGGTTGAAGTAGGAGAGAATGGACCTTTGATATCTAAAGTAAAAATTAAGAGCAATTTGATTTCTAAATCCATATGTATTTTCGTTCCATATATGTATTTATTTCCCCCAATAAATAAATGTAGTCAAAATAAAAGTATAGTATTTTTCACGTTTTCTCTAACTGAAAAATCGAGGCTTGAATTAATAGCATCATGTCAAGGTAAAACCTAAATAGCAAAAATGAATGTCAGAACACCTTGTCAAACACAGATGGTTGCTTAAGTACAGGTATTTTATTAATTGTCAAATTTGATATTCTGTTCATAAAAAAAAAAAAATCACCTCAAGTTAATCATTATAATGCGCCCATGAGCGTGCTGTACAGTGTAAAAGGAGTGTATCCCACAGTGGGCTTGTACGTTCAGGTAACTTTGTCTGCATTAGTGTTAGCTGAGAGAGATGTGATTTTCAAACCCTTCATCTTGATGCACACATGATTTGCATCAGTAATAACAAGCACATGGAGCTGTGACAGACCATATGCAGCTCTATTTCAGGCAGCCCCTCAGCCAAGTCAACACCCACCAGGTGCTCCGGGCTGCCCCCTTTGCTGTGGAACCAAGGGTAGGCAAGTGTGTGGCAGCATTTGTGTAGTGCCACTGAGAGCCAAGTATCGTCTCCTGGGAGGGAAAACTGATCAAAGTTAGGAGCTTGGTCAGAAGGAGGCGGTGCTGAGGCACGCCATGCCTGGTCACGACAGCGGTGTACAAATGGATGGAAGCAGTGTGTCCACAATGAAGACAGAAACCAGATCATTTCTCTACTCCCACAAACAACAGACTGCAGAATTGAAGAAGCCTGATAAAGTATGCTGGGTGGAAGCGGCAGCATATCTAGGAGAAGCAATCAATTGTGTAAATAATGCTCCATAGAGGGATCCAACCCAATTTTCAACAGCCATCTGAATGTTGTCATTGCTTATTGGGTTGAACTTTCCTTCACCTGCTGCATCCTTTGCCCTTGTTATAGATGAGTTATAGAATACAACAGTTTTTTTTTTTTTTATCACACTTCCTTCTCCACAGCATCTCCATTTAATATCTCTCTCTCTAAAATGAGGAGTTCAGGAATAGACTTATCAGTACTGTATAACTTTTTATACTGATGATCGTTTTAGAGCTACTGTAAAAACAGAAGCGCAAACCCTGTTAATACCTTTGATCCTGGACACAATGTAGTCTGAACAAAAACACGAACAATAAATATATAAATAAAAGCTTTACAGAGTAACTTTGATTTGCTGTGTAATCCGTCAGAGAATAATGCTCAGAGCCCTGCTGGGCTGGTGACCTTGATTTCCTCTCTCCGCTGATATCCCAGTGGAAATTAAAATAACAATAATGCTTTCCTCGGGGCAGGATCGCATGTAAAGTAAATCATTTCAGGATTTAATGCCACCCCTCCTATTTGTTCACACGGAGCATGCAGAGATTATGTTCAATAGGCACAAATGTAGTATTTAATGACAGTATGAGGAGGAGTGGTGGATAGCTAGTTTTAAACAATTCCAGCTTTGCCTGAGGAGGAGCGATAAATAAGATTTATCAGAGTAATTCACACCTTGCAACGACAGAAAGAGCTACTTGGTGCAGGCTGTGAAGGCATAAGTTTAAAGAAAAAGAAGAAAGCTCTAGTATCTGACCAGTCCATGTTGTACTTTCTAATCAGATATACCAGAAATGGTCTGTTTCTCTGAATCAAAAGGGTATTGTGGCAAAAAAATAAATAAAAAAATAAATAAATAATAATAATAATATTATATATATATATATATATATATATATATATATATATATATATATATATATATATATATTATTGAACAAGAAAACAAAACAAACGAGAACCAATAGACTAAACATATCAAAATATTCATCAATTTAAAAGACGAGTAAGAATAGATTTTTTTTTATTTTACATTTTAATCTATTTTGTTAATGTCTCTAAAACAATTTTCTTTCCTAGAAAGGCTGCAATATAAGATGTTTTGTGTTTTTCGCTACTAAACACAAAACACTTCTGTTTGTTTTGTTTTGTGTGTTTTTTTTTCTTCCAGGTAATAATCTAAGCAGTGAAAATTGGAATGTTTGAAATAATACCTGCTAAATAATAAGTAAAGAGAAGAGGTTTTCATCTTTTCTATTCTCTGAGACAGAACACGAACCTTAAATATCAAAACCAATCTGAAATTTTTATTTTGACCTTTTTTTTAACATAATCTTCTGCATGCTACCTGCATAAACCCCTAAACCCTACCATCTACAGGCAGCCAAATCTTGGGTTAAAAGGTACAAACATGGGCTCAGCTATAAATGCTGTCACAATTGGATTTTATGCTTGAATGATATAAACAATAAATATATCAAACCAACCTCTAAAAAAATAAGAACTTCAACTATAAACTTGATTTCTTTTGTAGTTATCGGTTTCTGTTGAAAACTTTAATTAGAAAAACACACTGGATAAAGAGAAAAGCACTAAAACAGTTTAAATCAAAGCAGTATTTTGCAGATGATAATAAACTTCATTGAAAAACGCCACAAATCACAGCTGGAAATTTTCTTATCCCCTAAAGGTGACGGAAAGTCCTCCATGTTTTGAATTTATAAAGTCTGTATCACCCAGAGTCTTAACTGGGGGAGATTCACCTGACTGGGAGGACTGGTGGAGGCTGCGGACAGAGACAGCGCGACGCTTTCTTCCAATAATCCCATTGTGTTCCCACCCACTCCGCCTCACTTCCCCTCCCTGCACATCGTAGTCGTGAATTTTACAAAAAACTAGCAAAAAATAAAAGAAAAAGTCCAAACAATTACCTCAGAAAGTCAGATAACAGCCATAAGAACCGAGCCGTCATGCTCCTCTTCTCCTCCTCCTCCTCCTTACTCCGAGCGGAGACTCCCCTGTCCGTTTCTTTCTCCTGTTCTCTAACTACCCAACTTTACATTAAATTCCTTCACTTTCTTCAGGAAATTGTTTTTTTTAAAAGCTACCCACACGTATCCATTATTTTCCAATAAGTCTCCAATGAAACTCCTTGCTTCTCATCCGCAAACAACTTAACAGCACCATGCTTGTATATTTCAATACAATTAATTTCAAACGTTGCGTTCAAAATTTCAAAAGGTTTTCATAAACCCAATAAATTATTTTTTTTATCGAGAGTGTTCGGCTGGTATCAATAATATGAAAGAACAATTACGGCTGAAATAACAAGAGTCAGTGCCGATACAATGTAGCGGTTCACTATTGGTTGAAGATGACAACAAACTGCCACAAACCTCCTTTCTCCAGGAAATACGTCACGTATGATAATCATGTACGCTTGGTTTGTATCACCATGCCAGTTCGCATGGGCGGCTATAAGTCCTTTGGCTATTAAAATCTCATAGTTGCTCAAATACAGCAGAGTAGATCACACATTATAAATGCTACAGAGCAGAACCGACACGCCAAGAGATTCTTCATATTGTGTGTGGCAGGTTCACTCTGCAGATTGCTGTAGGATCGATTGGAAGTACAGTTTGTGTTAATAAATCGGACTGACCTGTAAAGCCAAAATAATAATGCTATAATGCTATTATATTTATATTTTTACAGTCTGTAAACTTCAATTCGCGATTAACAAAATTAGTTGACGATTATTTGATTAATTATATTGATTAATCACAATTAATCTGATTGTTTCATATATATATATATATATATATATATATATATATATATATATATATATATATATATATATATATATATATATATATATATATATATATATATATATATATAAAATAACAATATAGATCAACCACCCCTTGAGACAACAAAGTTGTTAAAAAAAATATAAGCGAAAAAAATATAGAAACATTTTGCATTTAAGATGAAAAAGCTTTTTCATCTGTCAATATGCTCTATCCAAAACTCTTCAAGAGGAATATATATATATATATATATATATATATATATATATATATATATATATATATATATATATATATATATATATATATATATATATATATATATATATATATATATATATATATATATATATGGAGCTGGGGTTAATAAATAATCCGCAATTTCTGCTCTATCATTTTGTTAAGTAAAACGGACTAAAATAAACTATATTAATAACTCAATGTATTAAACTAATTTTAGGCCTAACGATATTCCAGGATTATTTAAACTAAATAAAAAATGTTTGACAAATGCAAAGAAAATATTAAATAACTTTGTGTTGGCGTTTTAGCTGTTCTGTGTCGATTTAGTTAGTTTTATCATTTTAAACAAATTCTTCCTGCCCTTATATTTCATTTCCAATCCCTTAATGAGAGTAGAGCGCATCTATTTACTGTGTATCACTGCCCTCTCATGGTTTAACATTAGAGGTACAGTATTGGAGCAGGACTGCACACCGTACGCTAGATGGCGCCATAACTCTGTCTCATTAGCCGTGTGAGTCTGTGTATCTGCCCAGTTGCAGCCTAATACGAGTGAAAGCCAGCCCGCTTACAGCAGCCCCTTGCAGTTAACGCGAGCCAAAGTTATCCCGGAATAAGGACAGCACGCATGTGCCGTCAACCCGGATGCAGATATTGTGTGCGTCTGTTTCCCCCAATCCTGTGAAGTTACGAGCAGATTATTACAGAATTAGTAAAAAACCAGCACATTCTAACAAACGCTCAGCAGAAATAGGGTCAATGTGCCGTGATGCAACACCAGAATGACAACACCACATCAATAGTGTTTTGAAGAGCTGCACTTTTGTTCTAAGGTGAGAGGGTGGTTAATAACTTTGAACAGAGATGAGATATAATCAACGCTGTTAAAGTTAAACCAGGCGCGTCTCCTCTGTTGCAGAATACAACTTAGATGCATTATGGACTTCCGCACCAGGAGGTATGAAAGAGGTAGCAACTGGACCGACCCGGAGATCGTGGAGCTCCTGCAGCTCTGGTCTGACGAGTCGGTGCAGATCGAGCTGGAGAGCTCTCTGCGCAACCAGCGCGTGTTTGACCGCATCGCGCACATTCTGCGGGAAAAGGGCATCTACCGCTCAGGCGACCAATGTAGGGAAAAGATCAAGAAGATGAAGCTGGAGTATAGGCGAATTAAAGACAACCACAAGATGAGGACTTGGAAGTTTTATGACGTGATGGACAGAGTGTTGGCGAATCGCCCGGCTGTCAGCTACTCCTCTTTGGGAGGAGCTGTTGTTGCTCAGCAGGTGTTCCAGGGCTCAGGTGGCTCTGAGGCATATCTGCAGGGGGTCCCTGTCGGTTCGTTTGGCCCCTCATCCTCAGGTGGGTTTCTGTTCGGCCAGCCACCTAAAGCTGAAGATTCACTGGATATAAAATGTGAAGATGCTGAGGAGAGCATGCTGAACTCTGGGGTTGCACCACCAGAGATGTACTATGTCTGCGGGGATGATCGGGAAACAGATGGACAGTCTCTACTGGAAGCAGAGGACACACTGGGTCAAGCTGAAGCCTCGACTAATACAAGAGTCTCCCCCTCAGGCAAATACAATCTCCAGTTTAAAAAAAAATAAGCATGCGACATATGGTTACACATTTCTTGGCTCTCTTATTAAAGCATTTGAATAAACACTCTTTTTTTGCAGTAGCATAATCTCACACCAAGAACCAGGAGAAATCTAACCTTTAATATAATATAATTACAGTATGGTTAAATGGGATTCTTCCTTAATCACAAGGTAGTTAATCAAGGAATTAACTTATTCCAAGCATCATGACCACTTGAGAGAATTATGTCTAACTTCTTTTTGCAGGATTGTTTTCATTGTGTTTTAAGCATGAATTCTCTGTAAAGCATAGCCTCTCAATTTTAACACACAGACTCAGAGAAGGAAACTCAAATCTATATTTTAAATGATATGGATCATTGTCCTCCATATGCATTTGAATTTAAGGACACCAAGGTGGATATTTTTCTTCAGGCTTTTAGGTAGAAAGCAGATATCACAACTTGCAGTAATTCATCCAGGTCATAAAGCAGAACAGCCCCAGATAATTACACCACCGTCGCCATGTTTGACTGCTGGTATGATGTTATTTTTTCTTAAATGTTATCTTAGTTTTCCTAAATAATTTTGCAGAGCAACCACCTTTGAAAAAGTTCTAATTTTGTCTGCTCAGAAAATACTATTTTAAATTAAGTATGTCAAGGTTTAGATGTTGATCTATGTTCATCTGCTGAGATGCTTTAATTCATTCTGAGCTCTCTGATCAACTTAGAAAAACTTTTAAAGAGTAAAAGATGGTTTATTAGCATTTAGCTTAATTAGACTTCTATCTAAGGCTGAAACAATTAGATTAATTGTGATGAATTAATTATTGAAATAATCATCAACTAATTTAGTAAATGATTAATCGTTCACTGGAATATAGAGACTTTAATGCATGTATTTAGCTGACAGAGCAACCACCCTTCAGCAATTATACCAAAATTGTAAAGAAAATAATGTAAACGTTTTGCATTAAAATAGAAAAACTTTCTCGTCTGTCAATATGCTCTATCCAAAACTCCTCAATTGGAAAAAAATTAGTTTCACCTGGTCTAGTTTCATAAAAAATCTTCTTAAAGGACGCGTTGGCTCTCTGATTATTAATCAAAACAATAATTGACAGATTAATCAGTTTGCAAATTACTCGTTAGTTGCAGCCCTACTTCTGTCGATATATGTTTTCTCTTAAAAACTAAAAAATAAAACAGTGTGAGATTCTTCTACTGCAATACACACACATTACATATACAAATGTATTTCTAACATATTTTTCTTTTGTACTTTGTTTCAGAGAGTAATATATATTTATATTTTTAGGTTTCAGTGAGAGGACCGCTGCTGCTTCTGCAACATCTGCCACTCAGATTGGTCCTGTGATGCAAGAAACATCTGAGCAGCTCAACAGGGAGGTTCCTCATGGGTCAGGTTGTGTGAAACAGAGGAAGCGTAGGCGGGGTGGCAGAGCTTCATGTGGCAAATCAGGTGGTCGGGAGAGCCTGGACAAGGCTCTGGTCAGTTTCCTGAACTGGCAGAAGTCTGCCGAGGAGCGCCTCCTCTCCCTGGAGGAGGCTCGACTGGAGAGAGAATTCCAGGCAGAGGAGCGAAGGGAGCAGAGGGAGGAGAGAAGGGCAGAAAAGGAGAGGCAGCATGAGCTCCACCTGCTCAGCATGCTCACGGGGGCGCTGTTCACCACCAGACAAGGTTCCTCAGCTACCGTGACATCCAATCCGCCTGTCTCACCTCTGGCTCATCTGGCTACTCCTCCCGTGGCCTCAGTCGGCCCCACTGTCTCGTCATCTTTAGCTCAGCCTCCCCCAGAGGCGCCCGTAGCACAGCCTGTCCACACTCAGGAGACAAAAAAGTCCCAGCCCACATCTGTCAAGACCTGCCAAGTGTCACAGGAGGTTTTAGGAACACTGAGAGGTTCAGAGGCTCCTGGCCACAGCATTTATCTGTCCAGTCGCGGTAACAGCATTAGACAGCATCAAGGCATTCTCCAAGAGGGCTTTATGCAGTATGCAATGGACAAATATCACCAAACAGACAATCCTGATGTAAGTTGGCATCATAATGTAACAGGATCCATAAATCAAGATTATAACATTGTTTCCTGTTTCCAGGGTATAGTCAACTTGGGAACCAGTGAGAACAAACTGTGCTATGATCTCCTTTATAAAAGAGTAAGATACATGATACAGTCACACACATAATGACATGATGCAGGAATCCTACAAATAATAATAAAAAATGTTTAGGGTATTTTGTGTCAAGCTAATTTACAAATAGTTTCCATCTTATTTTTGTATTGAGAGACAATTAAATGGACACACGGTTCTATAAAATGATGCTACATGAAATTAATTCACATTTAAGCCAAGAAGAATATTGAGGAGCTTCTTACAGAGATGTTAGAGGAAGCACAAAATTAGCTTTCCCCAGCTTATTAAGTGAATTTTTCCCCCTTATGAGAACCAGCAACGCTTCTAAATAATAGAACAATATAGTGATTTAAAGGTATAGGGGAGAATGTTTCTTTTTCCGGGTGCATCATCAAAATAAGTGGTCCTCCTAATTGTCAATCATTCTGGCGATATGTTTACATAAGGCTGTCCCATGTGCTCTTACCAGTGGTGAGTCAGACAGTGAAAAAATAGCAAATCTTCTTTTGGAAAATAAGCTTGTATGACAAAAACATTTAAACAGAGCGTGCACAAGGAGAAATGCGCTTTGCATGCTTGTGCACGCGTTAAATAGGCGTTCCCACTTGGGAGTGGGGACAGGGTTGTGCATGCGCATTTTTTTTTAAGTGGAGAGAGCAGGTCTTTTCAAAAATTTGGGAAAATCCTCCACTATACCTTTAAGACAAGTATCTGCTTGTCTAACATAGTCAGTAAATGTTCCACCGTAAATACTGTAATATGATTGTCTAGACCGTTTTTCAGTCGTTCCAGCTGCCTGTACCAATGCTCCAATTTCTTTTCTGCTACAGTTAACTAAGCCTGACATGTTGCACGTGGAGCCCTCCCTGTTGCAGTATTCCAGCTGGATTGGGCACACTTTGTGAGAACCTTCAGATCCTTTCATGCTGAAATGAACATCTCAGGTGGTTATCTTTTTAAATAACAATTTTTGTCTCCCTTCAGTCTTAGAGAAGAAGTTGCAAAGTTCCTGTCTCACTACTGCTGCTCTCCCAAGCCACTGAGAGCTGATAATGTGAGTAGTTCCAGTATTTTTGGTTAGATATCAACCATTTGATGTATAGACGGTTATAACTTAAGTGAATATAGAAAAAAAAAGTTGTTTTTTTTTGTAAGTTTTTCTAACTGAGGTTATGAAGCCTGCTAAAAGTAGAGCTTGTGACAGGTCAAACACAGGTTGGATGTGAGGGCCTGACCTATCTGCATGCATAAAGTCCTGCACAGCAGCAGGTTGGTCAGGTTCTCCTCACGCCACCCCCCTGCTCTTCCTGGAGCAGTGTTGCACAGACCATTTGGAACCATTCAGGGTAAACTATAGTTCCCACATAACACTTTTAAACAGCACCAACCTTCATCACGCTGCTGCCTTCGACGTTTCAGATCTGCTCTGTTAGCTTCTCATCTCTCAAAGAAACATTTTTTTCCTTTTTAACCACTGTACATAGTAATCATGAGCTAATCGGTAAGGGAAAAAAACTTTAGGTACCAATGTCCCTGCGTTTACCTTCCACTCTGAGGCTGAGCTTAAAATGTATAATGGTCCAGATATTTTAAGAATTGACTTACCCTTTAAAAATTTTTTTTTTTTGCAAAAGCTTCCTTGGTACCAATAGGTTAAATAATCATCTGTTTTGTTTTGTGAATTTCTCACATTGTCTGTTGAATATTTTTAGATCAATCTAAATTTTCTTTTGCAGACACTTTATTATCGATGCACCATGCTTTGGACAAGTTCTGCTTAGAAGCCCACTTGAAGCCAACATTCAGCTTTTGCACAGATGGCCCCGCATTTGACTGAAGATTACTTTGTACACAGAGGAGTTGACAGTTGCCTCAGTGACAACAAAGCACACAGGCTACTTTGGCCCAAAAGATATATGTAGAATAGATCCATCTATATCACTACAGTGTCATTAAAGTGCAAGGTAGTGAAAGGTTTATAAGGGATTGTTATGCAAAGGGTTTCACAAAAATGGCAAAAACAGATAGATAACAAATTATATATATCAAAATAACTGTGGAATGTAGACATTAGATGTAAAGAAAAAATGGGAAATGTCAATCTAAAGAAAAAAGGAAAAAAAAGTAAAGACATGATAGATATAAAGAAATAAAATAAGCGTTCAACTTCACAAGAAAACATTAGGAAGTGCAAATGCATTGATATGTAGTTGTAATTTAAAAGAGGGAACAGCTTCAGTTCAGGTTCTGTTTTTAATTTAAGGAAGTTGGTTCCAGGACATGTAAAGTACAACAAAGAAAAAAGTTTATTATTCAGACTAACTAGACTAACACTGGAGTAAAAAAAAAATAAATCTGAAGTGTTAAAAAAATTTTTGTTCTATGTTGTTTGAATCAACAACAACAACAAAAAAAACGTATGAAAAACAGTATCATCCATCCATTTTTCGTCACGCTTATCCTGTATTAGAACCAGATATTCTAATCAGAAATGTGACTGACACCGACACAGTTGCACTCGTTTTAGATGTGATCAACCATTAAATGGCTTTTATTGGCCGTTATCGGTCCCATGGAATGGCTTTGCCTCCTCTATTTTCTAGTAGGTTTTTTATGGCTGATAGTATCCAATCTATAGATGATAACGGGCTGCTCAGTGGCGCAGTGGGTAGCACTGCTGCCTTGCAGAAAGAAAGTTCTGGGTTTGATTCTGCATGGAGTTTGGATGTTGTCCCTGTGCAAGCGTGGGTTCTCTCCGGGTACTCTGGCTTCCTCCCACAGTCCAAAAACATTTATGTTAGGTTTAACGGTGAATGGTTGTTTGTTTCTGTGTTGCCCTGCGATGGACTGGCAGCCTGTCCATGGTGACCCTGCCTCTTTCCTGAAGACAGCTGGTGATAGAGCAGGAATAAACAGTATCATAAAGTTGTTTTTTTTCTACAAAAACTCTATTGCAACAGCATAATTATATACATTGTCAAACAGACTCACTGAGCTGCAACTATACATGCAACACATCTACAATATGCCAATTTGCTCTCTGCTTAATTTGCTTTTGGAAACAACCTCTGGTTTAGTAGCTGGATGAGTTTACCACATATTTACCAACTCTGTTATTTTGTTGGCTCTTTCATAGAAGACTGTTTTCACCATTTGTTGTGTTTCTTTCAGGTTGTGGTGATGAACGGCTGTGGTTCGCTCTTCTCATGTATTGCTGCTGTAATTTGTGATCCTCAAGGTGAGCTGAAAAAGGCATATTTCAAGCACCTGCGTTAGCTGAATACAAATATCCACACAACAGAGAGCTTTTTATTTTTTTAAACTCATATTGTAGACACAACAAGTTGGAGAAAAAACACAGGTATTCAATCAGCTCCATAAATGGCATGTTTTTCAGTTCAAACGCAGGCATGACCTCTTTTTAGGCACCGCTGAGCTTCTTTTCAGACTAAATTTATCTCTTGCTTCCAGGTTGGATCACTAAACCAGCCTTAGCCTTTTACTGACACAAATAGTCTCTATGGACTAAATCTTAGCGTCATGAAAAATATCAAAACTGAAAACTTAAATAATATAGAAAATAGGTGATATAAATTGTTTATTTTTCTGAAATGTAATCTAAACAATATTCAAAAATATATTATTATTCCATGCCATGCTAACCCTTAAATACTTTTACCTTTTGCATACTATTATCCAATATTTTATATATATATTTATGCGGATTTGCTGTGATAGACCATGCTGTAATGTAGAAGAAAAATATAATAAACAGTTTTTAGTTTTATTTTGTTGCAAATAAGTGTCTAAAAAGTGTATTTTTATTTAGTGTTCTTTATAATTAAGCATCTTTTTCAAAATCCAACATGTAAACTGCCCCCTCTTAGAATCTACCTTTCGCTGTGTGTTTCTCTCTTTCAGATGCCATTCTTATTCCTACTCCTTTCTATGGAGTCATAACCGAAGATCTGAATTTGTACAGTGCTGTAAAACTCTTCCATATTCCTCTGGATTGTGAGGTAAGAATACTGATCTGTTTTTATGGAAAACAAACATTTCCATTTATAAACTGCAGCAGGGATCAAAATGTAAACAGTGTAGGAGATATATGGTGCAAAAGGCATTGATATGGAAGGTTCAGAAAAGTGCAAAAATAAAAAAATAGATAAATATGGTGCAAAATGCAGTAGAACACTTAACACTTGACACTAGAATTCTATTTAATGAGATTTGAAAATTCGCCATGTAGTGCTAATATGTTTACAGTGTGATGCAGAGTCTGATTTGTGACTTGATTAGAGTTTCAACAGTTCAACAGTCACTGAATCATCATTTGAAATGTAAAATAAAGTGATCATGTTTACTCACATGAGGTAATGTTGTTTATGTCTAAAATGTTTTTGTTTTGCCTTTCCTTATTGGTCATATATAGGCTGATGGCAAAGACAGCAGACCCTTTCACCTCACCGTCGGGAAACTGGAAGCAGGGCTGAGAAAGGCTAAGCAAGAGGTATTCCATTGACAGGATAATCTCATAAATTCAAATAAGAAAATACACTGAATGGGGTATTTTTCTCATTAGCACTTTAAGGGAGTTTATATTTACTTAAAGGCTGTTGCTTTCTTTAAGGGGAAGAACATCCGAGCCCTTATTCTCATGAACCCTCACAATCCTCTGGCTGAGATCTACACTCCAAAGGAAATGATTGCCTTCTTAGAGTTTGCTAAAAGGTATGTTTACCCCTCTATTATCCAACGGTTTAGCCGGATGTAAATCCTCCTGCACATCTGTGATGTGTTCTCTACAGTGTGTAGAATAACAAGTGTTTGTCATAGACTTTTATCGCCTCTTCTTACCATCAGCATATTGTCAAATACAGCCATGTGCCTAAGAGTCACAAGAGTAATTCCCCTCAGCGTGCAGAGCTGCTATAGCCATAAATCTCTGGGCTTTTACACTGACAGCAGACACTACAGGGATCATTTTACATTTATTTTAGCATTTTCTTTGTTGTTAATAGTGATTGAAAGCATGAAAATAAACATGTTTTTTTTGTGGCATCTCTTTTCAGAAATGAGCTGCACGCCATTGTAGATGAGGTGTACATGCTGACGGTCTTTGATGAGTCTGTCACCTTTCACAGTGTCCTCAGCATTGAGAGGTTCTGCATGATTACTGTATTAAAACCTTAATCATCACAATTCCGACTGAGGACATTCTCTTATCTCCCACTGATTTGCCCTTATTTCAGTTTGCCCGACCCACAGAGGACGCATGTGATGTGGGGGATGAGCAAGGTACTTACTGCCAACAAGAGAGTTCTGCATTCCTGCTGACAGAACAGAATTAAAAGTTTCCTTCTGTGGGTATTTGGTCTCACAGCTTTTTGTTATTCTTTCTGTCTTTTTTTCCCTTTCTAGGATTTTGCAATGGCAGGAATCAGGATTGGTACTTTATATACTGTGAACGCAGATCTTGTGGAGGCTTTGGCTCAGCTGGGCTCCTTCCACGGTCTCCCTGGAACCTTGCAGCACCAGGTGGCTCAGCTGCTCCGGGACAGAGGTATGAGCCAAGATTCTCAAGTGTCTGTATAAACAAATCATCTCTGACAATTAATTGTTAAAAGCTGATCATTTTTTCCCTCACAGAATGTTTTTTTTTTTTTTTTATAAAAGCAATAAAAGCTGTCAATGTGTAATATTTGTCATATTGCACTGTAAATATTTGTCAATTGCTCCAAACTACAAGCTGAACAGATCAACTAAATTCTATTTACAGATTTGAATAATAAATAAAAACACAATAAAATGAATAATATAAATAAAGATACATTTTTATGTAAAAATTTTGCATAAAATGTTTAATCAAGATGTCAAGCTGCAGTTGATTTGAATAGATGTGATGATCTTTTCTTTTTAGCTCATGTTCTGAAGATACCTAGAAGGTTCTAGTTGTTTGACCTCAGTGTTTTAGATGAAAAATAATGACGTAAAGAGGTTTTAGGTATGATAGAGTCGTAAGAACCAATAACATCAATACAATATAATAGAACTTTATTGATCTCACATTGGAGAAATTCACTTGGGACATTTGCTCTAACAAACAGAAGGGCAATTAAGGAGGAAAAAAGGCATGAAGTATATATAGTGCATCCAGATATATAAAGTGGATGGTAAAAAATAAAGAAGGAGAGATTTAAGGTGACTTATATATACAGCATCTTATGTGCAGTAAAGGTAAAGTGCAGTTTCTGGTTTGTTAAATAGATAAATAGTATAAGTTATCGCAGTGTTATTATACCAGGTTATAATCCAGTGGCATTGTAAAGTCAATGGCAGCAGGGATGAATGACCTGCGGTAGCGCTCCTTTTTATACACGGAGTGTATAAGTCTGCTAATAAAGGAGCTGCTCGGCTGGTGCGTTAATGAGTCTTAAAGTCCACCTCGTAAGGCACAGTGTAACAATGGTGGCCAACTCTGAGCTAAATTATGCTCTGACTGTTTTGCACAATCTGGGCTGTGGTATTCTGCACCAGTTTTTTTATGGTATAAAAGATATTTGTCCCTTTATAGTAAGAATTATAAACTCTGTTTATAATTTATGAAATACTAGTTTACATATTAAGCTAGTTTTAAGAATTAACATTTGGTAATTAAATTGCCATTTTTATATGGGCTGTCAAATGCTCTTAACAGTGGATACACTGATAAGAGCCCAAGAGCAGTGGTTTGGTTGTTTACAGTATCTAACTTAAAATGCTAGATTGTTTCTTCTCTGTTTTTATAAAGTCAAGGAAATATGAATAAATCTGTTATTGTTTTTGCGTGTAACCTTTATTTATAAAGGTTATTTTGTTTAGGTCTGACATCTCATTTATAAAAAGGACTTTAAAAAAATACAACAAAAAAGATATCAACTTAGAAATCTTTGAAGCTCTGACCTTAGGTTATTTAAACATTGAAAATATGATATAAAAACAAGTGCTAATTTGGTAATCAATGGAAATTTTACTAATTATCAGAGCCAGATTTCTTTGGAGCCTCCCAAGCCTCTCCTGTAAAAGAAACTTGTTGGTTTAGTGATGAACCAGTAACTACCTTGACTTCTATCTACTAGCTGTTGAAACCACACAAGTTTGTCAATAACTTGTTAAAAAAATTTTTAGGTAAAATTGATATTATCAATCAAACACCTGCTCTTTCAATTTTAATTGAATCAAATGAATATCTGTTCAATAAAATGCTTTAAAGATTTTCTTTTTTTTTTCCATAAGAAGAGCAGGCTTAAACTCATTTTACAATACAGATTATTTATAAAGCATTTAAACATCCACAGGAATAAAGTGCTACACACAATCATAAGATACAAAATGATCAATCAAAAAAATATTATTTAAGAAAGGATTTAAAAGCAGAAAGTGAAGAGGCCTGAGGGAAGGTCATTCCACAGCTTTGGAGCTCGTCTTTGGCACCCTCAGTAACAGCTGGTCAGCTGATCTGAGAGGGTGTGTATGGATGAAGCGGATCAGACCGGTAGAGTGGATCAAAGCCATTAAAAGCAAACAAAACAATTTTTAAAAGAATCCTAAAATATGCTGGCAGCCAGTGTAAATCGGCTAAAATATAGGAAATATGTTAAATGTACTGTACTGATACTTTTTAAGAAACATGCAGCAGCATTCTTTAATCTCTGAAGCTGGAAGATGCATGAATCACTGACTCATACGGAGCAAAATGCAGTAATTTAACCAAGTGGTTAAAAAGGCATAGAATACAATGTCAAAATGACTAGAAAGAATGCGTTTTAATTTTGCTATTTGACTCAAGTGAAAAAAAGCTGGATTTTACACCAGCTTTAATGTGATTTAACAACTTAATAACATAATCTATTTTAACCTCTAAATGTGTAATAGTAGGCCTGACGTACTGGGTCAGACGCAACAGCAGTCAGGTAGATTTCCCTGGAAATACCAAAAAACACCACCTCTGTCTTTTCATCATCAAGTTTTAAGAAGCTTAGAGCCATCTTTTTTTCTGGTCTGCCAAGCAAGAAAGGGTAGAACAAGGAAAGGTAATGTCATTTTTCTTTAGTGGGACATAAATCTGTGTATCATCTTCATAACAATGAAAATAAATCCCATCATTCTTAAAAAGAAAGCCAAGTGGGAGGAGGTACAACATGAAGAGGATCAGAATAAAGCCCTGCAGGACAACACACACTAATGAAGCAGAGAAGAACATGTGGCTATGAAGACAAACACATAAAGCTTGGCCAAATAAGATTTAAACCAATCTAGAGCTGTATGGCCACCCCCCACCCACTGTTCCAATCGAAAAAGTAAAGTTCTGTGGTCAACCGTGTCAAAAGCAACTGACAGATCTAACAACAAGACAACACAGTCACAAGAGTCATAAAAAAAAAAAAAAAACTTTTAAGAGAGATGACTCTGTACTGTGAATACATTTAAATCCAAACCATAAAATGATTTTGAAAGACAATTCTCAGCAACAGCAACAAGCTAATGGTCTCAGCTAAGATCTGAACCATTACCATTTTTGAGGGCAAACTAGTGTAATTTATATGGAGAGTCTTATTAACGCATTGCTATTCATTTTTTCATCTTCATGGGTGAAAAAGATAATCTGCAAAACTTTGGGAGGTATATTGTAGCTCCAAAAATGAACACAAAGTTAAAATATAAAGTAAGCAACAGGGTGGCTAAAACAGTGCCCTGTGGGACTCCATAGGTGGTGTAACAGCCAAGAAATATTTGCCTATACCAAAACAAAAACAAAAAAATGACAAATATATGCTAAAACTCTGCTTTGATCAAAAGAATAACCTTTCACTCCAGTCAACAGGTCATTGAATGTCATTTAAAACTTTCAAAATCTCCCAAAACGATTTAATCTACCCCCTCCTTTATATGTCAATCTGACGTACTACTTTGTAGTAGAGTGAAGAAAGTTTGGTGATTTAAACTGTACATGTGACTTTGCATTTTCACAGACTGGATCAACAACGGGTTTATACCTGAGAACCGTTGCAGGCTAAAAAGTTCTCACAGTCTTCTTACCAGAGAGCTGCAAAGCATTGGCATCCCCTTCCTGGACAGACCTGCTGGCCTTTATGTTTGGGCTGACTTTAGGAAGGTAAAACCCCCCAAAACTATCAATATCAGTAACGTATTTATCTCTGCTGAGTTCAATATTTTCTATTAGCTTGGAAAACATGGGGGTTTGTTGTTTAAATGTCAACTCTTTGTTGTTGTGTCAAAGTATCTGAGCGAGTCATCATTTGAGGCAGAGTTGGCTCTTTGGAGGCGTTTTCTCAGACACAAAGTGTTGTTGAGCTGCGGCCAAGCGTTTTCATGCTCTACACCTGGATGGTTCCGGATCGTCTTTGCAGACCAGCAGCCCCAACTTCAGCTCGGTCAGTCTCATCCGCTGTTTTACATTTCTTCATAAGGAATAAATCACTACTACTCAACAAACACCCTTGAGACTCTGTTGGTAAAAATTAGGAATGCAACTATATGACAACACGTGCTGATATGGATATCAGATATTAATATTGATGATATTTACCCATATTATATATTTCCCCACCACATTGGCACCTTGAAAAAAATGTCCATAGTACCAATACTCCTTCCCTGCTCTGCATCGTTATCACTGTCTCATGACTAAATAAAAAACACGTCAAGCCCCCCATCATAAAACACAGAAAAACAAATTAATGAAAATAAACTTAATTGTTGATATCAGCCATGTTTTACTTATCAACCTGATAGCAATATGATGAAATGACCATTATCAAGGTTTTTTTCAGTATATCATCTATTTATAGTAGAGATTCAGCTTAACATGTTATTATCAGCAAGCATGCAACCTATATTTATTCTCATATGACCTAACATTGCAACAGATTTAAGTCTGTCATTATATATAGAATATAACTAAAAACTAAAACAAATAGAAAAGATGTTACACTAAGCATACCTGATTCCTTTATCAATATTTAGATGGGAAATCCTGAAGCCTATTTGCTGCTGATTAATTATTGATAACCTTCTATAAAATTAGGGGCTTTAGCATTGTGGTGCTTTGGAAGATACGGATGTGTGTTAACACAATGCCAGTAAGGAGAAATTTTAGAAGTGACCTTAGAAAAGCAGCTGTTTTTGACTATCAATCTTGGAAAGGTTATAGGGGCATTTCCAAACAATCTGAAATCCATCATTTTAAAGTGAGACATATTGTTTATAAGGTAAACAGACTGCTTAGGACAGATGACAGTCCTCACAGAAAGGGAAGGACAAACAAATTCATCATTCGGTCAAATTATACATTGCTCAGATAATCTGCTAAAGTGTGAACAAGAGCCCCATAAACCTTTCAAAAGGAATCACTTAGAAAAGCGGAAGCACAAGTTCTTAAAAAGTTTAGACCAAATTTGATAAATTTTTTATGAAAACAACACATATCTGTGCCAACATGCTGACTAACAATGAGAGGAATGGAGGTCTAAAGATGAGCTGGTTTTCTACCACAGAGCCGATCTACGATGCAGTCATGGAGTCGACTTTGAACATTTCTCTCAAAACCAAGGTTTTCTCAAGTCAAAAGTTAGAAGATGTGAAAATGTAATAATAATCAGTTATCCAAACCACATCTTAAAATCCACAAGTATGAGGCTGAAGAACAAAACACTGAAGATGTTGCAATTTCCCCATCAAAACCCAAACCTCAACTAAATTTAAAACCTTTAACGTAGCTTTATAGAAATTAATATAATACATATAAAAATATTAAATATACGTAAACAATTATTTTACTATATATTTTAAAGACCAAATGTTTAATGTATTTTTAAAAGAGTAAAAAAAAAAAATCCAACATTATTGAGTTAATTATTTACATATTTGATTTGAGGATCTATTTAATATATGGTATATTTAAACATTTAACGGTATATTTATTTATTTTATTGTGTCTTTACCCTTTTTCCTGGAACATTTAGTTATTTTCTGGGACAAGGAGATGTATATATTTTATAAAGTTTTTTTTTTTGCCCTTAGAAAATGGGAGCTCACATCACAGGAATTTCAATAATCAATTCCTTTAAGCATTGCTGTCATCTAATAAAATCCTCTCTGCCCCATCTTTCTTTAAGTTTTATTACATTGTTCTTAGGAAATGTATTATTGTTTTCCTCTTGCTACATAGTAAAGACTGGATTTGACCCACCTAAGCTGCGGATCTAAGCAGCTCCATCAGAATTTCATCAACATGTTGCTTGTCTCTCAAATTAATGCTCTACTTCCCAGGCCTGCCAGTGTAAATGACTTCTCAGGGCTATTTATTTGCACCGGATTTTATGTTGGTAAGCCGGTCTAAAGGGAGCTAATACATATTCACACTCTTTTTACATTTTAATTGGTAACAAATAGAAATATATTTCATTTTTAATCTCCTTCTCATGTGCAATTATAAATACATATGTTTTGCTTTTAAAATTAAAAACCCAGAAAAATACAAGCAAGCCAATCTAAATATGGAAAAGTTCAAGGGGTATAAATATGTTGGCAAGGCACTCTATACTAAAGTTAGGCAGAAACTAATGATGTTTTGTGTCTTTTTAGGCCTAAAGCGAATTCAGGAGACTTTGAAAGAAACCCATGGAAAAAGTATCACCTCAGATACACCCTCTTTTAAAGGAATTGTTGATGGGAGTAAAAAAACTGTAAAAGAGGAGAGCGACGAGTCAGACAACGCTGCGATTGTTAATTCCACATCCTCGCCCCAGAGCAAGTCATCAGACCAGCTGAAAGAGAGGGATAGCCCTGTTCCTGACACAGGCTCGCTTGGCGCAGAGGAGTTTGTTTTGCTGGACTGCCAAGGATCTAAGCCTGCAGAGAGTCTGGACTCACTTATTGGTACTCTAAGGCAGCAGATTCGTTCCTCTGATTGGCTGGAAAAGAACACTCCAGTGCTGTCTCATGGAGAGGACCCAGAAATTCTTGATGTATTCAAGTCCCTGCTGCAAAGAGCCAAAAAGTAAGCTTAAGATAAACAGACGTGAATGCGGCTGCCTAAGATTTCAACAGGCAGTGCTTATTTTTCATTCTTCCTGCTTGTGTTTAATATGAAAAGCATGACAAAGACGTCTGACTCTGGGTCATATCTGATGCATGCCTCTGTGTGCATCAGTGGAGAATGAGATAAAAAAAGAAGAGGGAAGAAAGATATTGGATAAAAGACCCTCGAACGGTCGATAGAAAGGAAGATTTTTCCTATTCTTTCATCTTGAAGCCTTACTATGTGGTAGTTTGATTTTTTAGCTATAGTGAGAGTTCACTGATTTTCATTAATCCTAGTTAAATACCAAATGATAGACAACCAAAAACAGTCAAGTTCTACTCAAGTTCAAATTTTTTGCACCATTAAATGATTCAGAATGACTTGAATGATCTGTGAATAAAGGATTCATTGTGCCATTGTTCTCTGTCATTGCCCTGAAACATTACAGAAATAGTGTGTGCAGTGTAGTTACATCTTAACAGATTATTATTGAAAAATATAAATCATATTTATTTGTTAAATTCATAATAAAATGCTATAGTGCAAGAAAATATTTCTACTCTTTTTGATGTTTTTTTTTTTTTACAATATTTAAATGCTACATGATTATATTAAATAGATTTGACTAGCTTTGTTATGGTCAGAAGTGAGTAGAAACTAGCTACATTCATTAATTTACATTGATATTTGAGTAACTTCAAATGACTGGAATAGTTTTACTACACTAATTTTTTTCTTGTACTAGAAGCAATGTTAGGACGGTTTTCTACTCTTGCTTGAGTGAAGATTCTCATTGCTCTACATGCTGTGAGTAACTTCATTAAATAAAGAACAGATTTGTTTTAATCAAAGAGGCACTAGAGAGACACAGATCTACAATTTGTTTTAAAGCAAGACTTCTTGTTTGTATACAAATGGTTGCTATGTACATTAGGGCCTATTTACTGTACTTGTTACAGTTGAGTAAATTGAAAAGTAGGTGGGCTACTTCTTACTTTTTTCATGAGTTATTTAATGGTTAATTAGTGCTACTCTTACTTGAATTCAATTTCTGCCCCCCCCCCCCCCCCCGCCCCTCTACAGATTAATAAATACCCTTCACTTGCGCAATGGCCCAGCAGACAGTGGATAATGCCAACGAGCCATAGAGTCATTGTTAAATATTACTCTGAACAGACTCCTCTACCTTTGCATATTAATAGAAGGTTTACTGTAAGAAGGTTGGAGAAAAGGCATGGAACATTTATTTGTATAATATCTTTGAGCAACAACTCATGGTGCTGAACATACACAAGCATAAGAGAAAGAAAAAGGAAAAGTAAATGACAGTAGCATTAGAGAAGTGTAAATAAAGTTTGACAGCAAACTTCAGGCAATGTTTCAGTTAACAGTTTAAATTGAACAGTAAAGGTTATGTTTTTAACTTCAATTAAATCTGAAAAACTAACAAAGAGAAAAGATGATTAGGAGAAATTTATTGATACAATTACTTTGTCTTTGGTGCTCAGACCTCGGCAGGAAACATAGCACTTGATTTTGATAGATATGCATGAACAGGAGCAAAGAATAGGGCTGTTTCCCCCGAGGCTTGAAACTGGTGGTGCAGTGGAGATACAGTAGATGAAGTTGGTCAGTCTGTAGACTGCTGGTTAGCGAGACGGTATGCTGAGCTTTATGGGTATCCAGTGGACTGCGTGAGCTAATTCTAGAGCCTTACTCAGGGACCTGGAAGATGGAAGTCCAGTTTGGATAACACAGGTTGAGAGAACCTGTCCATGATGACCAAGTATGAAGCGACAGCGGAGAGGAAAAAACTCCCCGTTGGGAAGAGACCTCTGTCAGAACCAGGCTCAACATGACGGTCTTCTGCCGGACCTGTTAAGATGAGACGGGGAACGCAGTAAGAGTCTGGACGGAATGACACTCTGGTGAAGCTTTAGCTGCGAAGGTGGAGGGTGGGCTGGAGGTGGGTTGAAACGGTGTCATCAGAATGAAGTCACAGCACATCAGCCGCCTGCGCACAGGAGGAGACAGGTGCATATCGGAGGCCTTTTAAGATGAGCTTTGGATGCCGATTGGCTTTCATGGAGGTGTGGTTCAAAGCTGATTGGCTGTGTCGCACGTGGATGTATGAAAAGAAATTATTTTCTTCAGTTAAACTTCTGCCTAGGCTCCATGAAAGAGTTGTAGGGTTCAGTGTTCTTATGTTTTTACTAGATCAGTGGGGCATGAGAACTAAAAGCTGATTCTCCATGTTCTGGTTCTGGGAATGCAGAATAGACTTGGGCCAGAGTCCTAAGAGGTCTGGCCATGTGACACACTGACAGCAGGTCTGTAATGTTTTATGGTGCTCGACATTCAGTGATTTATAGACTAACAGATGTGCTTTAAAGTGTATTGTCTGATATACAGGGAGCCAGCAAAAGATCTCTTTAACAGGGGTGATGTGCTCCACTTTCTCAGTTTTACTAACGATCTGGATCTACTGCAGCTGTCATTGGGACTTTTTTTTAAACAGACCAATAAAGACACCATCATCTGGTAATCAATTCCACTAACGACAAACACATAGATTAGTGTTTTCAGATCCTGCTGGGACGTTAGTCCTTTAATCATAAAAAGTTCTTCAGGTGATTAAAGGCAGACTTAGTTTCTGTCTTTATGTGCCTCTGAAAGTTCAGGTCTGAGTCCATCACTACACCCAGATTTCAGGGCTCATTGGTGGTTTCTAAATGAAGAAACTGTAGCTGTGTGTTAACTTTGACCAGTTCTCTCTTCCCCCAAAAATGTTTGAAGTAGTTTTTTTTTCTTCTTCTCTTTTTTTTTGATTCAGCTTAAGAAAATGTTGGCACCACCATGCACTGAAGTTTTTTTATTTTTTTTATTTACCCAGTGCTGGAATGGGTTCGTAGTCTTGTGGTGACATCATAATGTACCGCCGTGTGTCGTCTGCATTGTTATGCTAACTTATGTTCTTGATATATTCCGAGCTAGGGGGAGTATGTAGATATGGAATAGGAGGGGCCCCAGATTAAACCAGATGAAATGTTTGTGGTCTCTGTTGTAAAGTTACCTACTTACACAAAAAAAGTCCCTGGTCTTTAAGTAGGTTTTAAACCCATTGAGTGCTCTACCAGAAAGGTCGAGCCTGTTGTTTCACTAAAGCCCAACAGTTGTTTTTCTTTGTCTCTACTAGACATGGAAGTCTGTCTGGAAGACATTAAGCGGCTGGTCATTATTAGGAAGTTATTTAACATTTGAAAATAAGATTTTTCACTAATCTTACTGATGAAGGGGAGATTCCAGATGGGTCTGTAGTTCTGCAGCAGCAGCTTGTCAAACTTGCTCATTTTCAACGGCGATTTGATTTTTTGAGGGGGGCCTGAGGGAAAACACCTGACACAAGGGACGTGTTTATTATTTCAGTCAAATCAGAAGTTGTAACAGGCAGAGCCTTTTTAAAGAACAGTTTAGTATCTGTATGATTTTTTTTTCTTCACATTTTTTTTAGCTAATTTAGCTGAATTGGGGCATTTTTTCAAAATAAATTATAGTTGAAGACGGCTTTGGTTCTGATATTGATATGGATATGCAGACTGCCTCTCTAGTCTTTCAGTTTTATGATTAAAGAAGTTAACACAATTGTTGCTGGTAGTGGAGTGGAAAATGAAACAACTGGAATAATTACAGCCTTTGGAAGCTTTTGAAGCAAAACCCATTTAGAAGTTTGAAAGAGATTAAGATGTAGGATGCAGCGTGTGTTTCTGATCCAAGAGCCAACTTATACAGACATAGACTAAATTTGCTAAATTTAAATTTGTACACATTAAATGAAGCCTATGCGGAAGTTCAAATGAATAAAATGATTACTTACCCTCATCCGCCTCCGACACAGGCCAATTAGCTTTGAACCACACCTCCATGAAAGCCCAATCAGCATCTAGATTTCATCTTAAAAGGTCTCCAAATCCACAACTCAGTCTGCTACCCAAAGTGCAGGCAGCTGTTGCACTATGTCTAACTCCAATTCAGATGACCCCAATTCAAACCACCTCCATCACCTTCTCCACCATCGTAGCTAAAGCTTCATCAGATTGTCATTACTCCCGGACTCTTACTGCTTTCCCTGTCCCATCTCAACCGGTCCAGCATATTGAGCCTGGTTCTGACAGAGGTTTCTTCCTAAATGGGAGTTTTTCCTCTCCACTGTCACTTCATGTTTGCTCATCATGGACAGGTTCATGCAACCTTTGTTATTCAAGCTCGACTTCCATCTTCCAGGTCCCTGCATGAAGCACTAGTATCAGCTCACACAGTCCACTGGGTCTCTACAGCTCAAGCACACCGTCTCGCCAACCAGCAGTCATGGACAGATCAGCTTCATCCATCTCCACTCCACCACCAGCTTCAGGCATTGGGGGAAGCATCCTTTTTCATTACTCCTGATTATGCATAACAAAGCAAAATTCAGCGCCAATGTTCTCTGCTGAGGTCTGAGCGCCAAAGACTAAAGTAATTTTATCAATAAAATTCTTCTAATTGTCTTTTCTGTGTTAAGCCATTCTTGGAGCATAAATATTGCAGCTTCTTACTTGAGTTAATGACCAAAAGGATTGGACTGTTTTTGTGTGATGCAAAATCAGTTTTCTTTAGAAGATTAACTTCCTATTGAATTGGAAAACAGATGGAATGCATAGAGTGTGAAGGAATACAGGAAAGACACACAATCTGGTTAGCTTGAGGTGAACTCATTGGGGAGTCATGTCATGCGCCGCTGTTTGTCCCCTGTGTTTTATCAAGTCATAAGAGGTAGATGACATCAGAATGAACAATGTAGATGAGTTAAAGGTTTCTATTAGAGCAAACTTGTCTTTTCTAACTGCTTATCAGAACCCAAGGTAGAACACCTCCATGTGATAACGCATTAATACAGACATTTAGACAAAAGTAACCTCACCAAGTATTGAGAACTATACAGTACAGTGCAAGGACATGTTTTAAATGTTGATATTTGTGTAGAAAACCAAAAATGAGTTTGATTATTTCATTAGAAATAAGCAATAGTCATAATCTGAAATCAATGTTTTAAATAATCTACATTACTGTGTCTTTTCTGTATAAAAAAGTTCCACTTTTTGAACTAGATTACTGAAATTATGTTTTTTTGGTTGACCTACTTACTGAGGTACACATATTTATCTTAATCTGTAGTTTAATCTGTATCGAACAGATTGAAACTTTTTTATTTGGGTGGTCTGTGGGTGCCATTCCGTTGGAACAAAGGAAATGGAAAGGGTGAAATTTACATGACGAGGAGGAGAGACCTCGGGGGTCGCCTACGCTCTGAGCGTCAACACATTGTCATCCACTGTAAAACACTAAGTGTTTTCCTCTTACGTGTTGTTGTGTATAGTGAGCCGATGACATCCCCCCACACACACTTTCTAAGTGACAAAGGCAAAAACCAAGGTGCTTTTTCAAAGTTCAAAGTTTCACTTTGTGTAAGTCATTTTTTTTACTTCTCTAAAATGCATAATTCCATTACTGTCATTTTTTTATGATAGCAAACAGATTTCTGCTTCTTTAAATAGCAGCTTTCACTTTCTTTTAAGTGAACCTCAGTGGAGTGTATGGGGGGGAAAGTTCCTGACTGACGAGGGGGGAGTTTCCATTGCAGAGGAGGTGGAGTCACACCACAGGGTTTTATCTCAGAGGGCTTGTGGTCATAAGCAGTATAAAATATTATGTCCACGTGTCTGAAGGTGTTTTTTGTAGATGCAGTAGCAGATGCCTTTCTATCACCAAACAAGGTAAGACTAACATTCTTAAAGATTATTTAAAAACCTAAATTAGTTACCATTTTCTTTCATAACTTAACTCTAGTTGTTTTTTCTAAACTACTATTCATTCCTACTACTTTCTGTTTCCCTTTCAGTGAGGCAAAATAATGAAGTTTGTCAAGCTGGGAAACACCATCGACCGCTTCAGGTTGGCCCAGTCTTGTTTAGGACTAACAGGTTGCCTGTTTGTGTGCATCTCTGTCTGCACTCCCTACTGGCTAAAAAACAGGGGATTATGGACAAATTGGAACAACACCAGCAGCAAAGAGGACGGTACAACAGAGGATACAACCTTCAACGGTGAGCAAAATATCTGTTAAGTCAACTGAACTGATCTAATCAGCCATTCATGAATACCTGCTTCCACTGTGGGTTAGATAAATGGACTGACTTGATAAAACATGTTGGAAAAAGGTGGCTTTATTATATAGCATATGTACATCTTTGCTGTGTTGATTTGAAACGCAGACCTAAGGTGACCTGTTTAGTTTTTCCCTGTATTTGGGATTAGTTTCAATAGGAACATCTGATGAAAGACCTAGGGTTAGATTCTAAGCAGTGGTAAACAAGTCTGATCCTGCTCCTGCGCCAGAGAACTGCTTACTTTGTACCTGCTGGAGCTCTAATTCCTGGCTCTGTGAGAAACATGCTGAAGCATGTTTTTTTTTATTTAGCCATATCTTTATTTCTCCACTGAAATAAATGAAATGATCAACTTCCTGTTAGTTTAGTTCACCCCTTATTCATTTTCAACATAAGTTTTTCTTTTTTCATATTCAAAACTTGTAGGAAAAAAATACTGGTAATAAATATTTTGATAATGATGCTTAATCTAAACACTTGGGGGGAAAAAAAGAATATATGTATATATATATACATATTAACCACGCTCCAAAAGTCTAAAGTAGACCTTGAATTAGGAAAGAAAACATTTATACCTCTCAACGTTGTAGACCTCTTTGTGGCCTCTTATGACCTCTTATACATTGTTTTTTTTTTTTTATTTAAGAACAGATTATGAACCAGTGTTGTATTTTTCATTGAACATGTGACTGTGAACATTGGCACAAATAACCAAAAAAAAAAGGATTTGTCTGTATTAGTTACTGCCTCGATGCAACAAGAGACTTTAATCATACATTTATCACTGGAATCATTATTTAACTGAACATTTTTTATTTTATTTTTCAGCCTTAGAGGCAGAGAGAGTATTTGGAGTCATTTCATTTGTGATGGCTGTGAGCACTGCAGCTCTCTGCCTGCTGTTTGCCCTCTGCTGGACATCTCAGACAGTGCTCTCCTACTCCAACACCCGCTCTCTCCTCATGGCAGGGCAGGCTCTCTACCCCACCACTTTGCTGCTCCTCACCATGGCCTCCACAGGTAATTCAATACAATTCAGTTAATTCAAACAGAATCAAATCGCACATAATCACATAAAATTCAACTTCAAGTCTGTACCCCCCGATTTAACCATTAATATTCTTCCCAATACAGGTGCTGGTCATAAAATTAGAATATCATGAAAAAGTAGATTGATTTCAGTAATTCCATTTAAAAAGTGAAACTTGTATATTATATTCATACATTACATACAAACTCATATATTTCAGATGTTTATTTTGTTTAATTTTGATGATTACAAATGACAACAAATGAAAATCTCAAATTCATCATATCAGAAAATTAGAATATTGTGAAAAGGTTCAAAATTGATGGCCCCTGGTGCCACACTCTAATCAGCTAATTAACTCAAACCACCTGCAAAAGCCTTTAAATGGTCTTTCAGTCTAGTTCTATAGGCTACACAATCATGGGGAAGACTGCTGACTTGACAGTTGTCCAAAAGACGACCATCGACACCTTGCACAAGGAGGGCAAGACACAAAAGGTCATCGCTAAAGAGGCTGGCTGTTCACAGAGCTCAGTGTCCAAGCACATTAATAGAGAGGCGAAGGGAAGGAAAAGATGTGGTCGAAAAAAGTGTACAAGCAAGAGAGATAACCGCACCCTGGAGAGGATTGTGAAACAAAACCCCTTCAAAAATGTGGGGGAGATTCACAAAGAGTGGACTGCAGCTGGAGTGAGTGCTTCAAGAACCACCACACACAGACGTATGAAAGACATGGGTTTCTGCTGTCGCATTCCTTGTGTCAAGCCACTCTTGAACCACAGACAGCGTCAGAAGCGTCTAAAGAGAAACAGGACTGGACTGCTGGTGAGTGGTCCAAAGTCATGTTCTCTGATGAAAGTAAATTTTGCATTTCCTTTGGAAATCAAGGTCCCAGAGTCTGGAGGAAAAGAAGAGAGGCACTTCATCCACGTTGCTTGAAGTCCAGTGTAAAGTTTCCACAGTCAGTGATGGTTTGGGGTGCCATGTCATCTGCTGGTGTTGGTCCATTGTGTTTTCTGAGGTCCAGGGTCAACGCAGCCACATACCAGGAAGTTTTAGAGCACTTCATGCTTCCTGCAGCTGACCAACTTTTTGGAGATGCAGATTTCATTTTCCAACAGGACTTGGCACCTGCACACAGTGCCAAAGCTACCAGTACCTGGTTGAAGGACCATGGTATCCCTGTTCTTAATTGGCCAGCAAACTCTCCTGACCTTAACCCCATAGAAAATCTATGGGGTATTGTGAAGAAGAAGATGCAATACACCAGACCCAACAATTCAGAAGAGCTAAAAGCCACTATTAGAGCAACCTGGGCTATCATAACACCTGAGCAGTGCCACAGACTGATCGACTCCATGCCACGCCGCATTGCTGCAGTAATACAGGCCAAAGGAGGCCCAACTAAATACTGAGTGCTGTACATGCTCATACTTTTCATGTTCATACTTTTCAGTTGGCCAACATTTCTATAAATCCTTTGTTTTTATTGGTCTTCAGTAATATTCTAATTTTCTGATATGATGAATTTGAGATTTTCATTTGTTGTCATTTGTAATCATCAAAATTAAACAAAATAAACATCTGAAATATATGAGTTTGTATGTAATGTATGAATATAATATACAAGTTTCACTTTTTAAATGGAATTACTGAAATCAATCTACTTTTTCATGATATTCTAATTTTATGACCAGCACCTGTACATTCATTTTTTTAAATCCGCATTACTTCATGGATCTTGTGCAAAGCAAATCCAACATAATCAAATCAACACTGTCAGATTTGTTTTTTTTTTACACCCTTGAAGTCTCTATATGTGCCCACACCAGTGAGTGTTAATTTGACTCATTTTGGAGAGTTGGCATTGTAACTCTTATTTAGTGTTAAATAATATGTTTTTCTGAAGTTGATAATTTAACACTTATTTACACCAACTAGGTGTTAGAATTGGAATATTAACACTCTCATGGAATGCTTGACTAACTACATAGGAGTTATCCTCTAAATACTAAAAATTTTACTTTACTGAACATATAAAAATTCCTCTGGAAAGATAAATAAATAAAGAAGCAATGTCTGTTTTTTTTCAGCAAATATTTATTTCAAAAGTGCATCACAATTGGAAAATATTTTTCAAGACATGTAACATTGTGGAACCTTTGCCAATTTCAACTTCAATACTTTGCTTTGTAACAAAATTCTGAAGAGAACTAAATTTAAACAAAAAGATATTTTCATGCACTGCAGCGGAGGTTCATTTCTCCAATCAAACCGCTGTTTGCTGTATCAATTTTTATGGGAGACAGTCTTCTGATGATGGGGATTCACGTAGCTCCATGCTTTCACGATAACATTTCCCAAATCATTCTTTTAGGTGTATCGATGTTGATGAGTTTAGCCAAAAAATACATAAAATATTCGTCTACAAACCATTTTTTCAACACTTTAGTTACAAAGATTACTATCACCAAAGCAATGTAGCAAATGTCTATCACACGACTCTACTGTATCTTGACTCAAAAACCGCCATAGAGTTAGAAAGCAAATAAAAAATGTAAACTATCTGAGAGAAATTATTTACCAGGCTGGGTAAACGTGTCTGTATGACAGCAAAACGGAGAGTAAAGTTTCCCTCAGCTTTGTTCGGTACCTGTAGCACTGAAGTCTGTGAATGTACTCATGGGGTGTCAAATCCACTATAGGAGTTCAGAGTTGATAGACAAAGAGTTATTTTTTCCATTTTAACACCTCCAGATTTATTATGTTACACTATTTTTAACACTGAATTTTAATTACTAACATGTGACACCTCAGAGTTATATTTGCATAATATAAGTCTATTAAGAGCTAAATTAACATTATCTTTGAACAAAGTCTACTAACACCATATTATTTAACACTTTTCAATTTGCTGTGTGTACAATAATCCCTGTTTCATCGAGGTGGTGCATGGGAAGGAAGGAAACAAACAAAAGCAGATAAACAATGAAATAGACAGCGCTAAAGGAAAACCGGGTGTATCAATAAATACATTTAAAACATTTTAGCATGTACACTACAGTTAATCTCAATCATAATTTCTATTAATATAAATATTTAATCCAATAACTTGTCTTTTTCAGTCTCATAAAAGTAACTACAATTCAAAAATGCAAACTAACAAAAATTATTTGCAGCACTATTTTCACCTTCCACCCACTTACTCACACAGTGCACTGTTTTACATAGTTAATGTTGAGTTCATTCTTGTTTTAAGCATGGCAAAAATAAAATATACTTAAAAAAAAAAAAAACGCCCACATTCAGCTATCCTCCAAATATCCTTTTGTTTTATGCAATTCCTGTCAGACCTACACCTACAGAAATCCTTTCATGTTATTTTTCATTTACATACCCTGGAGGGAACCAGTTTTAAAGAGACTTTTTAGTGTCCTGGGAATTGCTCTTCATTACTATGCAAACTTGTCTAGGAGGCGCTGAGCGTGTAATATTTGAGCTTATAGTGGTAATGAACCTTAATTTGACTCAAGCATTCCATCTGTCCACAGGTTTCTTCTTCCTCCTTAGCTGGTCTTTCTTCACCTACCAACACAAGGAGGAAATCCGTCAGGAATTCTCCAGCCTTGGCTTTTCATACTGGCTGGGGGCTTTAGGGTGGTTCCTTCTGTTGGTGGTGGAGGCGGCAGTCTTTATCGCAGAGCAAGCAGTGGTGCCGGACGTTATTCCAGATATAGAGAAGGCCGTCAATTCTTTGCGGACTTCTGATCAACCTGGGGTTGCTAAAAAGGCTTTGAGTGACGGTTATAAACCTGTTAACTACAAAAGTAATATTCCTAAGAGGTACACATCAGTGATTTAAATGAACTTCATATAGGATGTGATAGAGGTTCTAGACAGCTAGATGAAGGGCTGTCAGGTGCAGGCTGTTTTCAGTATGGACTGAAATAAACTCCAAGTACACTATGGAAAAACTATGTCAAAGAAAGGTGATATTGTATATTAGACTACAAGGTTCTGAAGTTCCCAAGTTTTGCCTGGAACGGATCCATGAGTCTATTAGCTTCAAGTCTGAAAAGAAAATCAATGTAAACAAAACACTGTCTTAAAATTCAGCCTCTGTCTGAAAGTATCCATCACTGCTGCAATGTACTTTAAGAGCATTAAATTAATGCCATCTTGTTAAGAAGTGTAACACTCTATTTTGTATAAGCACTTTTAATCTGGTGCAAAGAATTTTAGTTGGTTCAAGAAAACGGTGCTTAATTTATCATGTATGGAATGTGGGCTGTGTCACTATGTTTTTTTTTTATTAAAAAAATACAAAATCTGAGCTCCTCTGTTTGTGCTTTCTGAATGTGGCTTCCAGTGTTCATGTTAGTTTTTAATAGATAGTCTACTGCATATGCTCTAAGTATATTTAATATAGAGGGAGGCTCTCTCTTCAGGTTCTCCTATTTATTTAGTTGTTATTATAGATGGAGAAAAGATTTCCTAATAATGAGATTTATCTTGGATATCTGGCAACAATTCCCACGTAAAACACACAAAAGTCAGTTTATATTGAAGAATGGGAAATATGAAATAGGCAGTTGATACAACCAAGGTATGTGGGGTACCATATCTGTATGTATAACACTTTAAGCAGATGGAATACACCAAGTCATTAAGGGGTAAGTCTCAATTTCAGTGGTGATATTCAGATGGCAAGGTCAAAATCTGGCATAAAAGTAGAGAGATAGCATGGTGGATATATGGAATAGAGATGGAAAGAGTATTGGCTTACTTTGGGGACCTTGAACCAATTAAACAGTATTTAACTGTCACACTCAACCTCTGTGCTCTTGTTGATCGTGTCTATCCTTTTATGACATCAGTGTAGCAGTTTTCTGAGTAAAGCTCCATGTCAAATTAAATCCCAGTAGCATCCCCAGTGATCCAATCTGTAGTAGCTGTGTGATGATATAGTGTTGATATGGATGGTTGAGAAATACTTTGGAATCTTGTTGAATCTAAAAATTATGCCAAAATTATCAAAATTTGATCTATTTTGATGCTAACAAGATACACACATTAAAGTTCCTGTTGGGTTTATTTGACAAGTCAATCTTAGTTTTTTTTTTTTTTTTACTTATTCCAATAATCTAATATTTGAATCTGAATTCATATAGTCAACAATAAACAACAGTAAAGACCTAAGTATGTGTACATTCATCTGAATAATGAATACATGTTTTGTGTGTTTATTTTTGACCTGAGCAGCATTTTTTTATTTTTTTATTTTTTCTTTTCTTTGAGTATAACTTCTGAGTCTCCTATAGAGTGGATGTTAAGATGTGTTTTTTTTCTTAGGTTCAGATGCAGAGGCTTGGATCTGAGGTGCCATTAATGGGCAATTTCTAAGCCTTTTAACTATCACGAACCTCTCCTCTGCAGCAGAGGTATAGCAACTTAGGCTCTTTCTTTCCCTAGGCATTCCCCATCAAAACGAGTTTCATCAAAGAGCTTTGTGGTTTCCAAAGTGCACTTCAAGAAATTTTCACAGATGTGAGAAAATTTCAGAGGAGACAAACCTTCATGTGTTAAAATAAAGATGAGTGTTGTTTTGCTTTGTTCAGCTGTCTTGCACTCACCATAAGAAGAATTAACAGCAGTCAGTTGTTCAATTTTCATGTAAGCACATGTACACAAATGACATAATAAATATATATATAATGACATGATATATATATATTAAATGTACATATTCTAGTAAAACACATTTAAAGGCAATTGGATAACAATGCTTTATCACAATCCTAGTTAATCCCTTCACAATCAACAATTAGGCATCAAAAGACAATTCTGTAAAACATCACACCACAAAATGTCTCTAATTACCACAACATTTATAATTTCAGTGATAGTTAGAGAGAATGCTACCCTCCCAATTCTATAATTTCTTATATTTTGCTCATGTAATGTTATGTGATTCTGCTTTTCACCAACTTATTCTATCTTTGCATCATAATCAATGATGGTGTAGAATGGCCCATGCTTTTGTGCAGCTGTAGTTAGAGTTAAGTCATTTGAAAAACCCTGGTAAAGATTAGATTCATTCTATCGGAAAATGCTAGAACTCTACCTAACTGTATATTTATGCTTTCTGAAAGCATATCTTTTTATCCTTAGAGAATGCAAATGGAACAGGTTGGCATATGTGGTGCAGTAAATGAAGGTTAAAACACACACAGCCTAATATGTATCATTGTACAGGTGCATACCCACGTTATATGACATATCCTTTTACATTTATACAGCAGCAGCTCTGCTGTATAAATGCAAGCCAAATGTTTTCAATAAGATTGCTGCGTCCTGCTGGCGTATTATTTGGTATTATTGTGTTTAAACTTATTTTTTGTTCAATTTGTTAGTGAATAAAAGCCTTTGTGTATTTTAACAGCAACAACTAGAGGGCTGATACTGCGCTTTTATGCAGGAGGTACACAAGGAAGGGTTAGGCTAAGCCAGAAAACACCTCCCAATGAAGTTATAAAAACCATGTAGACAATGTGTGAAAAAATGCAAATATTTAAAAAAATGTATTCCAAGAGGAATAAGACTCAAATAGCACTTAGAATACAGAATGAACATTGGTGTTCACTGAAGCACAAGCTAAAGCTGAGGAGGAATTCGATTAAGGACTAATTTATAATTTCTGATAATAGTGACAGCAATGCTAAAGTCTCTAAAGTCTACATTTAAAATTGTAAATAGATAGATAGATAGATAGATAGATAGATAGATAGATAGAGCACAAAAAGGATTGTTAAAACATCAGGATGGAGACACCTGTTTATAGCCTTATTTTATCATAATCAAATGTTTTTTCATCTTGTTTGCATAGGCACATAGCATTGCTATGCCCCTTTAAGAAATAATTGTATTTCTTTTTCTTTATCCTTATTGTAACTCTGACAAATGTAATCACCTCACTCCTATCTCTGGATAACTATAAGAGTCTTAGCAAAAATATTAGCCCACTGTACTTGTTATAACAGACCAAAATATCCATCTTTATAAAAAAAAAAAAAAAAGATAGAGCTTGGCGGGATCAGTTTTTGTAACTTTTTTAGTAGCTGTTAAACAGAACTTTGTTTGCTGTACTCAAAGTCTGTTGTTGTACTAAAGAGAAAGTCTAAAAAATTAAAAGGGTATCAATCTTTAAAGTCAAAACCTAGACAGTTAGCCGCTGCTCTGCCGGGTCCTCCATGTCTACTGAAGCACATTTTTTTTTCCTTTGCCAGCTCTACATCTGTTTCCTCTCTGAAACACTTACCTCATGCATCCACAACGGTAATTTCCCAGAACTGCAGTGTATTTGAACCATCAGACAACAGATTGAATCAAGATTTATTATTTAGTTTTCCTCTCGCTCCTTCCCAGGAGGCAAAGGAAGCGCTGAGATGCTGGACTGTTTATGTTTACATTTTCAACCTGCCATAGTGGGGGGAGAGTTAAGTGGCTTTGGCTCTGTTAATTGGGCGTTAATCAGGTGTTGCTCTAATTAAAAGGCAGTTCTGCCCTGTTGGGCTTTGGTAATGAGTTTGTTATTAAATTCACAGAGGATTTTTGTCTCTTTTTCAATTTACCAATAGGGTATTGCTTAATTGTTGTGTAAATGAGGGGAATGTCCTTGAAGGTCGTGTTGCATCGGTATGCGATCCATGAAGAAAACTGCTCTACAGAGACCCTCCATTCAGATCTCAGTGACTGAATTCACAAAAAACTTGAGGTGACTACACACTGCTGGTTTGGTTGAGCTCTAATGACCTCAAAGGGAGCATCCACACATTTAATGTGAGCAGATATTTTCTAAGTAGGCAAAGGCGCTTTCAGAATTGATTTTCTCTCCATCTTAAGTTGCCTTTATTTCACTTACTAGGTGCTGTCCAGTTCTTGAAAGCACACCGTGTTTTATAGCTGCTGACTACTCGTAAACAAAACACACCCGCCCTCCTTTTCCATTTTCCAGCATCACAAGTGCTGCCCTTTCACCTTTCTGAAAGAAAAAAAGAGCAAAGGTTGCCAATGCCTTCAAGAGTCAAGGCCAAATCGATATGGAGATGGAAAGAAAGAGATAGAGGGATTTTTCAGGGGAATGCAAGAAGCGAAGGATGAATGGTAGAAGATGTTACACACAGATAAACAGGTGGCTTGAGATACTGAAAGTTTTTGTTTAAGGGGATTTGCTTCAAACAAAAAACTGCTGCTAACATTAAACCGTAGCTATCTGCATGGTTAGAGGAGCACTACCTGCAACAATCAACTACAGATCTTTTAAAAAGCTCTCTAATTAAGCTGTGCTTCCCTTGTATCATATGTTTTTCTTTTCACCACATCTGCTGTGTTAATTTTTTCTAAGATAAATACATTCATAGGAAACTGGGGCATTCGTAATTTTCCTGAGCTAACAACTGCTTCACCATGGAAGAAAAGGAGAGAGGATGTCTAGAATGTGTTGTTTTCTTCTTTACCTTTTGGTGGTGCTGGTGTAACACTCATCACTTTGCCACTCTCAGTGAAAACTGGCTAAAATAGGAAAAGGCTGCTTATATTTGATGAGTAATGAAATGAAATACACATATATTAGTATCTTTAAGGATATTTTTAGATGCAAGGTGGACAATTAAGATTCTCCAGCATATGTCAGACTGCTTTGAACAGAAAAAACATGCCACCCCCTTCTTAAAAAGTTACATTTTATTTGGCTTGATCTTGAAGCAATATTAATTATGAAATAAAGAGCAAGCTCTTTGCTCTTTTGCAGTTTTATTTCTCTGTGGTTTACATAATTCACGCCAATCATTTGTAACTTTCTCCGGCAGGTTGCTGCTGTTGGGTTCAAAGTGAAGACGCTGAAGAAATACGCAGAGAGATGAGGCAGCAGAGGGGAACCAGACATGAAGATCACAAGTACAGAGAACAAAGAGCGACAGGGGATTTGAGTTGTCACATAACTGTTTCACGATGTCCCTTCATTCAGCACCGCTAAGTGCAGTGTCACATTTTGATAAACTTTGCGCCTCTTATTTCTTCAATGGCTCCCATCATTGTTAGCTCACTGTAAGATTGTGATAAAGCAAAAAAAAGCAAGAATTCGACCTCTGCTTCACTATCATTAGTATAAGTGGATGCTCTTTGAAAATGGAAAAGTCCAGAAATTTGATGTCTGCAGTCCTACAATTTCAGAAAAAGCAGACAGAGAAGGGGAGGGGCTGCATGGATATGTAAGAAGAGAACACCCTTTGTCCTTTGGTCATTTTTTCTTGCTGGGACCTGCTTTATTTTGCT